GGTGTTCTGCCAGATGAGAATTCTGACTGAAACTTTTCCCACAAAGATGACATTCAAAGGGTTTCTCGCCTGTGTGAGTTATCTGATGTCTTACCAGTTGAGAATTGTAATTGAAACTTTTTCCACAATCAGGACATTCAAAGTGTTTCTCTCCTGTGTGAGTCCTCTGGTGTTTCACGAGGTCAGAATTCTGACTGAAACTTTTCCCACAAAGATGACATTCAAAGGGTTTCTCTCCTGTGTGAGTTCTCTGATGTCTTACCAGTTCGGAATTATAACTGAAACTTTTCCCACAATCATGACATTCAAAGGGTTTCTCTCCTGTGTGAGTCCTCTGATGGTTAACCAGGTTGGAATTCTTACTGAATCCTTTCCCACAATCAGGACATTCAAAGGGTTTCTTTCCTGTGTGAGTCCTCAGGTGTCTCACAAAATGGGAATATCCAATGAAATGTTTCCCACAATTTGGACAGTCATATGGCTTCTTCCTGCTGTGAGTCCTCAGATGTATCACCAAGTTGCCATTTTTCTTAAAGGATTTACCACATTGGAAGCACTTGTAGGGCATCTCTTCTCAGTGGGTTCTTCTACGAACTGAAAGGATCTGTTCTAACAAAAGCTTTTGCAACATTCAGATTATATATGCTTTTCTCCAGAGTGGATTCTTCCCTGCTTAAACACTTGCAATTTGACATCTGCTTTTTCCGTAATAGGCACAACTATTGAGCTCTTCCACCACTGATATTCTTGAGAAGGTCAAAAATATATGTGATCCCTTGTTTAGTGGTGCTTTGATTTAAGCCCTTTTCATCCTCACAGACAACACCTGTATTACCATCTGCCCATCCAATTAACCTTTTCCTCCCCACTCACTTCCAGATATTTTCCTCTTTTTCTGAATGGAAAAATAATCTCCCTTGCCTTTTTTCTGCAGTGTCCTTGAGTTCCACATATTCTACTTTTTCTAGCTCAAAATCTCTCATTGATTTTCTTTCCTTTGTCTCTCAACTGCTGTGGAAGGAGAAGAAATGGGTAGTTTTTTCTGATGGAAATGGAGAATATTTTTATTACTGCCTCAATCAGTTTTGCTTTTCAATATTGCTTGTTATTCTGAGTTGTCCAATGTGGTCTTCTGGTATCATCTTTGTCTGTAAGATTCAAATGAAAATGTAGCTTTTATTGTTTATAAAAGGGTTGCAGAAGATGTGAAAAATTTACATTACAATGAAAAAGCAAACATGCCAATATGCTAGAATAACCTCTAACATCAATTCAGATATTCAGTTCCAATATCCATTCAATTATTAAATTCATTTGTTGACATAAGTCAGTCACAAATTCTCAGCCCTGCAAAGGGTTATGATCAAATATATATGGTAGATAGATAGAATTCTTTATTGGCCAAGTGTGGTTGGATACACAAGGAATTTGTCTTTGGTGCATATGCTCTCAGTGTACATAAAGAAAAAATAAAATACATTCATCAAGAATCATAAGATACAACACTTACTGGTAGTCATAGGTTACTAATAAGCAATCAAATCATAGGAGGAAACAAAAGAAGAAAAATACATGTTTATTACAGTCTTAGACCAGCAATAGACATCACTATTTATAATATATATAAAAAATAGTACTGACATGTTATAATATGTTAATAGTGGATAATAACATCCCTGTTAAGAAAATACATATTCTCAAACAGTTAGGGTCACCCCCTGATTTATATGAGCGGAGAGCCAGTAAGTGTGTGTCATTTCCCAAAGATTGTTCTATCACCAAAAATCGGCACAAATTGACAGCTATAGTTCTGTAACCAATTAATTTTCTTTCTTTCTTTCTTTCTTTCTTTCTTTCTTTCTTTCTTTCTTTCTTTCTTTCTTCTTTCTCTTTCTTTCTGTCCCTTTCTTCCATCCCCCTTTCGTCCTTTCACTTCCTTTTTCTTTCTTTCTTGTTTCTTTCCTTTCTTGTCTCTTCCTTCTCTCTCTCCCTCTCTTTCCCTCTTTCTCTCTCTCTTTCCCTGTCTCTTTCTCTCTCGGTCCTTTCTCTTCCTCCTTCCTTCTCCCCTTCTAAAGCTAGGAGACCCACCTGAAACACACACACACACATTTCCATCATTGCTCGTTAACTTACGTTCTTCCCGGCCAGTCTCCTAGAGTCCCAGGGACGATTATCCGTTTGCACCCGGTCCTGCATTGCCCAGCAGGCAAGGCTTCCGCGTCCAACAAAGGGGCCGGGACATCCTCCCCTCCCTCAAGCTCCCACCCCGCTGGCCTCTCAACTGCCTGCAAAATGCAAACTTACCTTTGTCCCGTGGCTGGTGCCAGAGGAAAAAGTGAGCCAGCCAGGGCTGAGCCGTCGCCACTCAGCTGTCCTCCAGCCCGGATGCGCCACAGCTGCTGGAGCTCGCAGCTGCCCGGGGTGTGTGTGCAGCACACATCTACCCGCATTTGCCCCTCTGCCTGCGACCCCTCCCTCACCCGGCCGAGGATTTTAGCCGAGTGCAGGCCACCTAGGAAGACCTGTTCTCACGAGGCTTGACTTGCACCATTCTCACAGAACGCGGCCCGCGTTCAGCCAAAGCGCACAGGCCGGCGGGTGAAGGGGCGAGGCAGGCGCCATAGCATTGTGCTCCCTGGTCGCCCCCTCCCCTCCCCGCCCCTAGTAGGCAAGGCCAAGCAGCTGCGGAAAATCCAGCCCTGCTTGCCTTCCTCTCTGCCACCAGCTTGCCTGGGAAACTGGAGGCTGGGGACGGTTGTGGGGGAACCTTGCTGGGCCGTGAAAGCCGCATGGGCAGCTCCCATGGCTAAGCAAGCCAGGGCGCCCCACCCCCCCACAAGCAAGCCAGGCAGGGATGGGGGGGGAAACTAGTTAGGCCACGTGAGCTGAGGGTGGCAGTGGCACGGCGGTGGCAGCCTAGGCTGGCCAAGGAGTCGGGATTCAACTGGGGCTGGCAGCAGCAGCAGCAGCATATAGGAGACCGGGGCTTGCAGAACCTCACTCACATAAGCGGATCATGGTGGAAGACAGGCAGCAATGGCTGGTATCAGGCTCCGAGTTCCCTTCGGAGGCCGTCAACTCCAAACACACCTCACAGCAGGGCAATGGAGAATATCACCTTAGCTCTGCTGACACCGGATCTGTATTGTTTGTGTGCTAGCCCATGGTGTTGAAGATTGCCTTAGAACAGGGGTGTCCAATCTTGGCAACTTTAACACTTGTGAACTTCAACTTCCAGAATTCCTCAGCCATCTTTGCTGGCTGAGGAATTCTGGGAGTTGAAGTCCACAAGTCTTAAACGTTGCCAAGGTTGGACGCCCCTGCTTTAGAATGACTCAGCAGAGCTGTGAGCTGCAGGATAGATTCTGAAACAACTGCGGGGCTGGATATGGCTTCTTCATGCATTGATATTGTTAGAGGGGGTTGGGGCACATATAGGTGGTAATTAAGCATTGAGGTAAGACATGGTGAAGGTGGCACCAGGTGGGGATCAGTTAATGAGGATCCAAATAGGTTAGGGAGGTAGACATGTTATAGGGTTAATAGCATTTAGAGATAATAGGTTAGGTGTGACCAGGACTAGAACCGCCTATAGGCCTAGGTGTGGTGGTGAGGGGTGTCTCATGGTAATGATAATAAAAGGAAAGAGAGCAAACTCAAGCCCAATGCCAACCTTGCCTGGCTTTTAGCCATTCTTGCTGAATAGAGTCCCTGGGATCTAAAATTATGAGTTTGGTGGCCCCTGAGGTCCAAAAGGTTGGTGACCCCTGCTTTAAATCATAGATAGAGTAATGTTGAATTGGTTGTAAATAGGTAGAAATTTATAAAATTTTGGGGCCTGCTTCAGAAGGGGAGGAAACTAATATTGCTTCAATATGCTTATGAATATTCTAGTTGGGGATAATAAAAGTAAATCTGTTTTTCACATTTGTAATGTACATTTTTTTTCTTTTTATTTGTTTTTTTCTATTCTTGTTTTGCTTTGAAAAAATTCTGTGGTTTTGGAGTTTGTACTGTTTATTAATATTTTGAATAAAATAACCTGTTTTTTTTTAAAAAAGTTCATTTACTACAAACACATTCAGGGAGCTACTGTGGAACTATTTTCTAAACTGCCTCTAAATTCATAGAATCATAGACACATGTGGTTGGTTGTACCATGGTGACCAGGACTGAACACACTATTCTAGATCTGCTGTCACCAGCACAGTGTAAAGCAACTCTATCACTGCTTCTTGTCTTGGCACTATGCACAAAAGCATTGGATTTTTTCGGCAGTGGCAACACTATACAGCACAATATTGACAAAAGTGGTACTTATCATATGGCCTGGGGATACTTTGCCTGAGGTTTTGGAGATTTCCCAGAGGCAGCCGCCATTTTCAGTGCACCCACAATTCCTTAACACAGTCTAAAAAGCGTTAAGGGAGAAAAACAGAATACTTTGTCCCAGTGACAATGGTAACAGATAACATAGATAATCAGAGTTGGAAGGGACCTTGTAAGTCATCTAGTCCAACCTCCTGCCCAAGGGGGAGACCCTACACCATTTCTGACGAATGGCAGTCCAATCTCTCCTTGAAAGTCTCCAGGGATGGTGCTCCCACAACTTCCGAGGGCAAGCTGTTCCATTGGTTGATTGTTCTCACTGTCAGAAAGTTTCTCCTTATTTCCAGGTTAAATCTCTCTTTGTTCAGTTTCCATCCATTAATCCTTGTCTGGCCTACAGGCACTAAAGAAAATAGCTTAACCCCTTCATCCCTGTGGCAGCCCCTCAAATATTGGAAGACTGCTATCATGTCTCCCCTGGTCCTTCTCTTTACTATACTAGCCAAGCCCAGTTCCTGCAACCATTCGTTGTATATTTTATCCTCCAGTCCCCTAATCATCCTGGTTGCTCTTCTCTGTACTTTTTCTAGAGTCTCAACACCTTTTTTATAATGTGGTGAACAAAACTGGATACAGTACTCTAGGTGTGGTCTTAGTAAGACTTTATAGAATGGTATTAGTACTTTCCCTTAATCTTAATTGTATCCCTCTGTTAATACAATTTAAGATTGCATTAGCTTTTTTGGCTGCTGCTGCATGGCTCATATTTAGCTGGTTGTCCACTAAGTCTCCAAGATCCCTCTCACAGTTACTGCTATTGAGCTTGGTTTCACCCAGTCTATATGTGTACTTTTGGTTTTTCTTGCCTACGCGTAGGATTTTACTTTTCTCTACATTGAATTTCATTGTGTTAGATATGGCCCAGTGTTCTAGTCTGTTAAGATCCATCTGGATCTCGAGCCTACCTTCTTGGGTGTTAGCTATTCCTGCCAGCTTAGTATCTGCAAATTTGGTAAGTTCCCCTTCTGTTCCTTCATCTAAGTCGTTAATGAAGAGTACTGGGCCTAAGACGGAACCTTGTGGCACCCCACTGCTTACTTCCCTCCATGTAGACTTAGACCCATTAAGGACTACTCATTGAGTACGGTTTGCCAGACAGTTGTGAGTCCATCTAGTGGTGGTGCTATCTATTCCACTTTTTTCAAGCTTACTAAGAAGTAGGTTGTGGTCTAGGTTGTCGAATGCCTTGCTGAAATCTAAATATATTATGTCCACAGTGTTTTGCTGGTCTACTAATTTTGTCACTGTGTTGAAGAATGAAATGGCATGATCTGTTTTTAACGAACCTGTGCTGACTGCTAGTTATTACTTTACTTGTTGCTAGATGTTGGCAGATGTTTTTTTATTATCTTTTCCAGTATCTTCCCGGATATTGATGTTAGGCTGATTGGTCTATAGTTTCCTGGGTCTGTTTTATTTTCCTTTTTTGAATATGGGAACCACATCAGCTCTTTTCCAGTTCTCTGGTAGTTCCCCGGTGCTCCAGGATTTTTGAAAGATATGGTGCAGTGGTTCAGAGATGACCTCTGCCAGCTCCTTTAAAACTCTGGGATGTAATCCATCAGGCCCTGGTGATTTGTTTTCATCAAGATCAGACAGGTGTTGGAGGGCGGAGCTGGCGTTGTGACGATACAGCATGCGATCTTGGAAGTCTGAGATCGCTGCCGATATCTTTGTTTCTGGACGAGCCAATCGGATCTAAACTGTCCCAAAGAGACGGTGAAAGTGAAGAGCGCATCCTGCCGATCCTAGGGATACCACAAAGTTCCTGGTAGATTGAGGAGCTCTTCTTGCCAGCGGCAAAGAGGCAGCCATTAAAGCTGCTGAAGTTGGGACAGCTCCGAAACAGAAGAGAGCAGAAAGAGAAAGTGTGCCGCTTTGGTGAGAACTTTTTTTTTTACTCTAAGATCTGAAAGGACACCCTAAGGGAAAGGAAGAATCTGTAAAAGTTTTGACAGAAGTGACTAAGCAGCGATTTTAAACAGGAATGTCAAAGTAATGTTTTGTTTTTTTCTTCTCATTGCTGGATTTTCTATATACGATCTTGCATTTTGAAACTGGACTGGTTTTTTCGTTTATATCTATTTGGGTTTTTTTTCTTCTCCCTTTTGATTTTGGAATATTTTAGGCTAGAGGCTCCCTTTAGTTAATTCATTTTTTAAAAATATCTTTTTTTTCTGTTTATCAACTCTTATTATATTTTGCTTGGAAAAGGAGGGGGAAAGTGAGAGCAAAGAAACTCTGTAACACTGCCAACTAGAGGCTTGAAAATATTCTTTTCCCTGTGACCAGACAAAGCTGAGAAAGAAAGAACTGAGACTCTTTTTCAAGGACATTGCTATTTGATAAGATAGAGGGGAGAGCATGAGAGAGTATTATTGCAGGTGCTCTTCTATCAACAGCTGGACTCTGGTGTTGAAATGTAGGGGGGGAAAGGTGATAAGTTTTTGGAGAAGAGAGCTATAATAAGAGCCTTGGATAATTAAATAAAGTGCAGTGTGCCCTTTTTTACTTTTCCTAAGTTGTGCTATCTCTCCTCATCAGCTTTATTGTATTTTTTTAAATCTCCTTTTTTGTAATAACTGTTTGGGTTTTTGGCTTTGTTGGAGCTTGCCTTTGTGTTTCTTTCTTTTTTTGGAAGTCCAACCTCTATGTTTGCTTTTCTTTTTAAAGGGAAAACCTTAAAAGCTCTTTTTTTCTTTCCTAGTACTTTTGTTTTTTTATTTAATTTTTTTGGTTTATTTTTATGTATTTTTTTCTATTTGAGACCCTTCAATTGGATTAAGGTGTTGAAGAACCTAAAGAAT